CACACACACACACACACACACACACACACACACACACACACACACACTTGTTTTCAGCCGTAGCTATCAGTATGCTATTGAACATAAGCAGTTTCTCCTAGTGGGTTGCACACATCTGTTACTCCCAGCATCCTTTCCAGGTTGCTTTTTCCTACACTTCTAAGAGACTGATTTTGTATCTGCCTCACACAATTGTGAATATGAGGTATACAAGCTTCCATTTTAAGACTATAGTTTTACTTTGGTAAGTTATTACCATATAGTTGGTTTTACGTGTTTAGCTAAGGAGGTCTCTGTCTTGTTAGGTGGGAATATGGGAAGTGGTAACAAGGGCAAATATCAACTATTGAGCATCTGTTGGAGAGAAGGAAATTGAAGTCCACCATTTATGGAATATCTTGACCCGGAATAGTGATAAGACCAGAAACTGAACTCACTTATCAGGCCACACACCTGTAATGCCTTGTTCTAGCTTTTCCTGTTTGAGATTAGACTGTAAGAGATTAATTTCAACTGTTATCTTTATTTGAACAAACTGTTTTTTATGAAAGACTGTGGGTAAGTTTATAATATATCAAAGAACTTGTACAGGATGGCTTTCTCACACACACACAAAAGCTAAAGAACTGAGCAGCACAGAGAATAAAAACCAGCAGAAAACAGTCACTACAGCACCAGCTCATACTCTGACGCATGCACTTTTGCCTGCTCTACACTTAATACAAAGGACAATTTTCATATAACCAATTTACATCCATTATTTCCCCCTGGTTATTGAAGGGAGACAGAAAAGTGGCTGCAGAAATCCATTAGGAACCACTATTGAAGTTTAACAGCTTTACCCATGGTACATTATCTGGTGAGATGGGAATTGTCAACATAAAATGATCATCCCTTCCCCCAGTGTCCGGGCTCAAGTCTGTATGACATCTACAGGGAAGATGCTATTTGGAATTAAGGGCAAAACAGTGTGTGAGGCATGTAATTTCGACGCTTTCACTCCACGTTCCCTAATTCGCAAAGAGAAAAGAAGGAGTCAGTAATAACCGCAGCGCAGCTCATAAAGCAGGGGTGGGGATGAAATGGAAAACCGAAAATATCACGAAAAGACTGCGGATGATGGGGACTGCTTTAAAAACCGCTCCCGCCCTCTGCATCATCAGCTCCTGTGGCTCTGAGGGTGTCCCAGCAGGTTGTGGGGGAAACGAAGAGAGCTCTCCACACTGCTCTTTACCCTTTGGTGACCGGCTTTGCAAACGCACGGTGAGCAAAGCACTCCAGAAAGATTTTCAGAGGGTTGAGCAGAATTTAAAATGGGTACAAGCGAAATGTAGGATCTCGTTTTCCATGGCTGGTGGTGGCTGGCCCTGGGGAAGAGGCCATAGCTGTGCCCTGGCACCTGGGCCCTACTGTCTGTCCTTTGCTCCTTCCTCTGGCTTCTCAGCAGTCTCCTGCTATCCAAGGGACTCCACTGCCACTTTGTCTCCACGAACGCTGAAGTGACAGGCCCCAGAACCCCCAGAGAGATGTAATTCTATCAGGCAGTACTATGACCACCCTGATGTTAAAACTCATTCATTTTTGTTCTGGGCATTAAGAAGTACCGAGGAAACGTCAATAAACTGAGCAATAATACTATTGTCTGTCAGTGTGTGTGTGTGTGTGTGTGTGTGTGTACATGTAGATGTATATGTGTGTGTGTATGTGTGTACGTGTACATGTGTATATATGTGTGTACATGTGTATGTGTGTGTACATGTAGATGTGTATGTATCACTGTGTGTACATGTAGATGTGTATGTGTGTGTGTGTATGTGTGTGCGTGTACATGTGTATATATGTGTGTAG